ATAGATACCAGGTTGTACATGAGCAATAAAAAAAGAAAAAAAGACAATATGTCTTCTTCAGCTGCATATATTTTTATACTTTTTTTAAACTTTCAATCAATGTTATAAAACTGCAATGCTAAATCTGTATAGTACTTAAATGTACTACCAAACAGACACGTACACAGACAGCTGTGGACACCACGGCTGCATAGTAGTTCTGTTTTAACTATTTCCACAGAGTCATGGTTCACTCAGTTTAGAAGTTGTTGATTTGGCTCTGGAGTTGTAAGAGGTGTAGATGTCACCGACGTAGACCCTTGAGGGACCACAAAGACCTCCAAGGGTAGATGACAGATGAATACAGCCAAAGGGGTTCAGTATAAACTGAAACAATATTTCCTAACCACCTTCTACAATATATAAGTACCATGGTAGCAAGTGAACACCACATAGCATCACTGACAGTGCCTCTAATCCTGTAACTTCCAACATTAACTTGCTGCAGAGACCTGCTGTCCATCATATGTATGTTCTTTACATGAGTGGAGCCGGTTTCTACCCATGGGAAAAATATTGTGCCCCACCCCCATTCCTCTTAGTCACTCTGCACATGAGTAAGGTCACAGTGTCCCGACCACAATTACTGGCCATAAGCTGAATAGCCATTTTTGCTGCTGTCGTCAGGATTATCTGGTGGCTTAATTACTCTTCCTTTTACGCCCCCTTTTTCTTGGTCTTAGCTCAGCAAATAGTGTGGAGGGACATGGCGCTTATTTTCAGGAAATGTGTTTGAGAGCTCAGTTAAGTGGGAGCTGGGAGGTTTCATTAACAACATACAGTATAGTACAACCACCATAGCAAACATATGCAGACAAAATCATGTAAGTAGGCTGTTATATACTTTATCTCTTAACATACTGTATTTATGTTCTTACAAACGCCCCCTTTAATTGTTTTATTTGGAAGTTTTGTATATGTGAAGTGGGATGGTATCGGTCACTCAGTGTGTCCGCCACTCTCACCCAAACTGAAATATCTCAATACTATTGGATGGATTGCTTTGGCACAGATATTCATGGTGCTCACAGGATGAATTCTAATGACATTGGTAATCTCATGACCTTTCCTCGAGTACCCCCAGTAGGTCAAGATTTTAAGTCAGTCAAGTTTTACTTGATGGATTGCCCTCAGATTTAGTAAACATTCATTTTACCCAGAAGATGTACACTGACTTTTCTGCTAGTGTCACCATGTGACCGACAGTTTTGATTTTGTGTGAAATTTCGACTATATCATGGATTGTTATTAAATTTTTTTATATATCATTGGCGATCCTCTGACTTTTCAAATAGGGCCATCATGAGATCAAAATTTTAATTTCAATAATCAGTACTTTGGTTAATGACCTAATACCTTTAAAGGATTTTAGTGGCGTCTAGCAGTTACATATTCTAATTCTTTCGCTCCCCTTCCAAGCATAAAGGTGAAATTACGGTGGCTGTGAAACACGCGGAAATCGTGAACACCTCTATCTGGTTTGTCCTTTCTAGGCTACAGTACAAACATGGCGGTTCTACATGGAAGACCACCCACAGCATCTGTAGATAGAAAAAGGCTCAACGAAAACACAACAGTTCCTATATTCAGGTGATTATACACTGATATAAAACAATGAATGAATATTATATTCCATTTCTGCCAATAGATCATCATAAAAGTGACAAACTGGACCTGTAATATTATTAATTATTATCATAAAGTCTCAGTTGAATTATTTCAATTACCACTAAATTAAGATGGTAAACATGACAAACTGCTAAACGTCAGCATGTTAGCACACTGATGTTAGCATTTAGTTCAAAACACTGCTGTGCTTAAATACAGCCTCTCTTGTTTAGTTGCTGAACATATTTTGCTTGTGGTCATACTATTATCATTACTCTCTGTTTACTCTATTCTAGTATCTAATATCTTATTTTCCTCCATTTCCTCCCAGTGATGTTGCCTGCTTTATATCCAAATGAGAGATAAAGTACAGGAAGAAATATTTTAGTCACCCTCTATTCACGTTATACTCAGTTTAATTTATATTCATTTTCTGAAAGACTTTGAAAACTGCAGTTAATCATTCGGATCATAAGGAGTCTCCGTCATAAATCAGCAGTTAGGTGGAACACACAATTTTCCTGATAAAACAATAACCAATCAAGTGATTTACATATACCGCCCACACACATCATCAGCTTCCTCCAGAGGTTCATGTTAACTTTTTAAAGTTGACAACTAGAATTAAACATCTATTGAAATGTGTCTGTTCTAAACAATAGATGAATATGAGACATGATATGAAGAGTTTTATTCAATGAGATATCCACCAGTCGAATAATATCTCACCTTTTCTTACATGAAGATAACTAACAACACTCTAAAATGTTCTGCTTTTCATAACATAACTATATCTGATATTTTTACAACCTTTTATTTTTTTATATACAACATTTTGGTGGGGGAAAAAAACCTTCATGTATTTTTGCTAAGATTGCTGTACTGCATGATTTACATCTGTCTTTTGTTTCCTGATTTCAAGTGATGCAGCCTATTCAAACGTGCCAGTTTACCAAATTGTGCTCATTTCTGCCCATCCTTCTCCTTATTTCAATCTGCACAATTAATTTACAGACAACCTAATTTCCTCCAAGCCATGTGACAATTTTCAGCCTCACATCATTTGGTAGTAGTGGACATTTGACGGCTAATAATGGCTTCATTTCTCTCTGGGTATTTAATTAGATTACTGTTTTTATGCATTATAGTGATTGATGGTCATAGAAGGGGTTAATTGCGACACTTGGCTTTTGAATCAATCTCCCCCTGTCACGTCAAAGATAAATACACTGGTTAGGACCCCACTCGCAGGGAACAGACACAGTCACTGTTGCATCCTGTGTCATAGACTTGACCATGTTACCAGCCATATCTCCACCATGTGTCCCTAACTTCCTTTCTGTATCTCTCTGGCACACACGCAAACATGCATGTGCATATCCTCATGAAATCAATCCATACACAGAGATGACAAGATAACACAACAAATCCCATGAAAAAAACTGTTTCCTGTGTTGCCGAAGCCTGATATAACTTATTTCTCTGTGCAATAAAGCTCCACTGTTGTCCAAAAACTATTAAAAAGTCACATTATTGCATTAGGTGACAAGTTCCTTCATTACCATAAATATAAAATAAAATTAAAAAAACACACACACTCCTACTTCTATAAATCACTAGACACCAAATGTGTATTAATCTGCGGCTGAAAATAGTCCCCAACAAATGTGCAATTTGATCCTGTGTGTGCCCACATGTTTTACTAAATGATTTAGCCTAATTAGCCATACTAGCAGCTTTATGGATGTTAATGTCTGTCTGTCAGTCGGTAAGTCCACCACTTTGGATTGTCATGTTGTACAGACATTCAGGATCCACAGGTAGATGAATCCCACTGACCTTACTTTTCCCTAGTGTGTGTGGAAAGCCAGACCAACCAGTCTGCTGTCTTCCAAAGCCTTTTATACCCTGTCACCTGCTCTCTGTGGCCAATCAGGGAGAGTCTCTGTGACTCAGTGCCACAGTGGCCCAATGGCTTCAGACTCCCCTCATTTGGAGCTAATTGTTTTTTGACAAATAATAATTGCATTTACCTTCTTATGGGCATAATGAAACATACAGCATAACCTAAACAGACATTTTAAAGTGAAAGTACTTCTTCTTAAAGGAAAGAGTCAGAAAGCATGTTTTAAACATCACAACTTCACAGCTCAAAC